AAAAAGAATCTTGAAAAATAATATTTTTACATATGAACAATTAAATACTATACTTACTGAAATAGAAGCAATACTGAATTCAAGACCATTGTTATCTATATCATCTGATCCCAATGATTTTTCTTATTTAACACCTGGTCATTTTATAATCGGATCAGCACTAACTATGTATCCAGAACCAAAATTGTCTGATGTACCAAAAAATAGACTTAAGTTTTGGCAGTCATGTACTTGTATAAAACAGCAGTTTTGGAATGTTTGGTCTAAATATTATTTAAACATTCTTCAGAATCGTCCTAAATGGAAAAAAGAATATCCTAATATTAAAATTGGTAGCTTAGTAATTCTGATAGAACAAAATACTCCATCTATGTCATGGCCTATGGCCAGAATTGTGAAATTGTTTACAGGTAGTGATGGTAAAGTGAGGACAGTGGAAGTTAGGACTTCTAATAATAAAACACATGTTCGTGCTATAAATAAAATATGTCTATTACCCATAGAATAAGATGATGTATACCATTGTAATATTTAATTAAAGTTTGTGTGGCTCAGGCAGCCCTAGTAAGGTATTACTTATGTTAGATTAAGAACATATGTAGGCGCAAGCTGCATGCCTGTTTAATTATATAGAGTTTTCTTGTGCTCTTATTATTTGTTTAATACAACAAACTAGGTTTTTTTTTTGTTTATCTACTTCAATTATTAGAAGTTATTTCATTTATTTGAGTTGATTCCATTTAAAGATTTAATGTTTGTTATGGAACTTTATTATTAATTTTATAAAGACTACCTTTGAGCTAATTGCATTATAGATTTAATGTTATATAAATTTGATTCTTGTCATATAATTCTGCGCCATAATATTTGTGAGGCGGCAGCATGTTGGGAATATTTATAAATATACCTTGCAACATTTATATGTTAAATTGATAAAGGTGATTTACTTAATAATGTGACAACACTGTCATTTTTCTCTCTCTATTGTTTGCTGTTCTAAAGTGCAATATACGGTTTGAACGTGGGTCCTGCATTTTTATTATTCTTCGGCAATTAAACGGTAATTCAAGAAACCAGCAGAGACAGCTGTCTACAGTAGGGGAGACTGGGTGTCGTCAACTGGTAGCATCAAAGACGTTCAGTTAACCCATCACAGTTGTACTTCAGACGTTTGAGCTGAATGTGGAATGTAATACTGTCATGGAATCGGACTGGTTTCCTATAAGTGGGACTAATGACAAAGATTCCAAACTACGTAAACTCGAAATATTTCTAAAGTTTTCATCGCCACAGAAACAAGAATTAGAGAAAAAAATCTTTTTTTAAACTTATTTAATGGTGTTGGACTACACTAACTAAATTTTACATTATTACATACTAGCTTTCCGTCGGCGAATTCGTCCGCGTGCTCCTGTATTATATATATTAACGTTCTTCTTGAATCATTCTGTATATTGATGAAAAATGTATTACAACTCTTTGTGTAGTTTAAAAGATCTGAGCGTACAGAGATAAATATATACATATATACATTACATACATAATATTGTATGTATAACTAATTATACTAAAAATAGATATGTGGTAAGAGCTTGTATATTTTGCAAGCTCTTACCACATGCTTTATATGTTTAATTGTAAACTGCCCTGTTTTAAAAATCTGATGAGAAAAAAAAACGTTTACTGTTTTAAAATTCATGGCGTTTCGATTTTTCATTGCATTCCTGATATTGTTGTCTAGAGTCATTTGTGGATTTTTTTTTATTTTTCTAACAATCCAGTTCATAATATGTTTATTTTTTTGGTAAAGTGATTTTTGTTTAGCAAATATTAACACAGATATTTGCTAAACAAAAATAGAATTAAATTGGTGGTAATATCGTATATCCTCACCTTAAGAAAATGTCTACATCACTTTAGTATAATTTAGCGTTGGAAACTGTTTTTGGCTAATGAATAACCTATATCACTTCCTCGTTCATGTGTTATATTAACAGCTGTTTGTTTCTTTCGATAAATAAATAAAAAATATATATATGTACGAACAGAGTCGTAAAAATACACTTTTTTGGCATATTAACCATTTTATACAAATATATTCTGATAGCCGTTTTACTGGAAATGTTTTATAGGAGAAGCAAAATTGAATACCAAATCTAGTGGTGTAAATAAATAGTTTATTTAAAAATACTGTCATAAATATCGTGGGTAAGCTCAGTGTGACGGTAACAAATATTTATAGGGGTAATTTGTTTTTGCGAACTGGAAGTCAGCTGCAAATGATATCGATGCGTAAGATTGATTGGTAAATATAAATGCATTCGTTTACAACTGAACAGATACGTTTTCAATTTAAATAAAACGCTCAGTCGCTCTTTTAGCGCGTTTTCGACGTTTGTTACGTGAAATTGGATTGTATTGAATATTCTGATTACATGCTGAATTTTATTTCGTTTTCTAAAATTAGTTCGTTTACGAAGTGAACTAAAAGTTTATATTGAGAACTACTGTTACTTCATCATTAGAGTCGATATTGTGTACGTAAAAACCTGTTTAGTACGTCAGACAGATATTTAAAAAAATATGTATTAGATTCATATATTTTCTTGCTTTGATTTGACAAGAAATGGCTTTGATACTATGCATTAAAGTTGAGGAGTGGGAACTAAGTAGAAAACGTACAAAGGCGCGATGTCATGCGATTTTAAGCCAATTTATCGCCGTAATTTGTTGATTATGCGACAATTAAAAAAAAACTGGACGGCCAGATAAAAAAAATAGTCTTCATCTCTAGCTTTGTTTTTCAAAGATATTTTTACAATATATTTATGTAGGCCCACACGTATAGGTAACGTGATATATCCCATTTCCTTTTCTTAAAGTCCATTCTATTCGCAAATCAAATATCATTAAAATTTGTTTAGTAGTTTAGGCATTAAAACTTACGCGACACACACAGAAAGAGTTTCTTACGTATTTATATTAATATTAGGTTTCCGCCCGCAGATTTTTTCACGTAGCAAACTTTTACTGTCAACTAAACTTTATGAATTATTCTTCATCCTTCCCCAAAGTCCATTCTATTAAAGCAATCAATTCTATTAAATGTGATTCAGTAATTTAGGCGTGAAAATCTCACACAGGCAGACACACACACTAAGAGAGACTGACACTTCCGCATTTATAATATTAGTATGGATTTTATTATAATTAATGTAGTAAATAAAACTAAAATTATTATAAACACAATTCAAATGCTAACTGGCATACATCTTGTAACGAACGACTAAAACACATCAACATACTGAAATAAATTTACAGCGTAAATAAACCTTTATAAACCCTTTAAAAATAAATCAGGCAACCTTTTTATTTCACTCCCTTATATCGCGGAGTGAAGTGCGTTTTCGTGTCGATATTTGTCTATCTTGATAACGGGTGATAACGGGTAGCTTAATGCCGAGTCTGTTTTGTAGTACCTCATGTGTGCCAACTTAAGATATATGTAAACAAGAAATCTTTTTGTTTTGTCATATCAAAAGAAAAAATTATAATGATGTGGAGATTTTATGTAAGTATTACCGTTTAAAAGATACAGCCTTGTGAACTTTCAAATAATGAAACCTTATTAGCGTGCTTTGGCTATGGAATCCTAAAATGAAAATAATATCTTTTGGTATTTTCATAAGGTAGTAAGACGTGTATAGAACTTAGCGGTTTGCCATCTCTTGGTTACTGAGTAACACGTATTTTTGCGCGTCCTCATATTTACTTTAGGGGTTCTCGTCATTGCCAGCTATTTATCCTCCTGTTTTGAGGTAAGCCAGGCAAGGAAGTCACTATACCTTAAACCTAAGACTAAAAAGGTGGTACAGATTGGTATGGTAGACACAAACGAAGCCAGTTCAACATGTCAACATGTCTTTGGAAGCAGGACCTCATGATAAATACATTATTGTCCACTGATGACTTTTGCGAAAGTTACTTATACTTTGCCATCGCATTAATATTTTACCATAACAATAAATAAATGTAAAACGTAATTAAAAGCATTGTTCAGATTCGAAGTAGCTAATGGCCTCGTATTCTGGAGTAGATACTCCAGAATGTTAGTTCCTATGTTAGATAACATAACGACGTTACCACAACACGCAGACCCGAGACAATATAGAAAATTTCACTTTCTACGTTAACCTGACCGGGTTATCGAATCCCAGATCTCAGAGATGGCGACACCTTGAAACCGGCAAGCTAACGATTCGGATACGGAGGCCGTCAAATATTGAATGCACTACTAACCACATCTCAGAATATCACTTTTGACTGAAGTATTACTGATTTCTGCTCAACATGGTTTATCAGCCTATATAAAAATTAATACATATGGCAAATTTATTAGTACCGTTAGGCATAACATTTTTCATATATCGACGGTCCCTACGTATAATCCCATATCTGAAAATTGCATATTTTACAGGATAACGGTTTGAAAGTTTAAGCTTTTATAACTTTGAAACTATACATAGTGTGATGTTTAAATTTGGCATGTATATAGTGAATGATTTTAAAAATACATGGAATTGATTAAATAACATTTTTTATTATTGTAATTAAGACTTTTGTCAGTTACTCGTTTTTATATTAAAACATGTTATGCACTTAACTAAGCAAGTGGGACTTTTTGTGATTTACGTGGGAATCTGCCGAAATTCAAAAGTTGTAATTGGTAGTTACTAATTTTGTTTATGGAAAATTTGTTCATATTTTTTAGATAGGGATTTTGGTAATTAAGTATGCATAAGGTTAATCAACGTTTATTAGTGTGACAAAAAAAATATAAAATAACAAATAATTTCACAAAGCCTCTATAATATAATTATAAAAATTATAAGCGTTATTGGTATTATTTTAAATAGATACCAATTATAACACTCATTATAAATCGTTATATTGAAATAAAAAAGAACCAAAATTATTAAAAATGACATCAAAATTAGGATTTAATCTTCTTCACTGCTGTCTTGATCACCTGGCTGCAATGAATAAAAGTAACTATGATATTGACTTGGAATTATGGAATTTTCACATAGATATTTTAAATCGTTATATTTTTGAATAGGTATCGGGATAGGTCCAGCATATGCCGGTTCAAGTATGATTTCCATATTGTTTGTATTTTGCCGTCTCCTATTTTGACTTCTACTAACTATCATGCGTGTGTAAGAAGTTTCTTCTAAATTAATTTTATAGTTCAGCACTTCAGGCTCTGAAGGATTTACTTGTACTTCCCTTATTTTGGACCAGTAGATTTTATTATTATTTTCATTTTTGGTCCAGTTCTTACCATCCAGAAGTCTTTTGAAATTAAGTACGTCATTTCTTATTATTTCTCTAACATCATAAGGAGATCCACTTTCTTTGGACCACCTGACTAAAGTAAACCATTGCTCAGGCGTATATATAGTTTTATTTTTGGCACAACGCTCTATTAAGGCATGAATGCTATCATTTTCATTCTGGGTATGTCCTTTTTCCAAAAATCGATGGACTATATTGACATTAAATTTTTTGGCGGCAAACAAATAAAAAGCAAACACAACTCTATTTCTATTTTGTCCACTACAATTGTCAGAATAAAAATAAAAAGATTTGATGCCTTTTTCTGAGTTATCTCTGATATAATCGTATAAACAGCTAGCCACTTCGTTGGCTCCTTTTTTTGCGATGCCTTCGTGCCACATATAACATTTACCAGTCTTTTTGCCCATATTAAATACAGTAAAATTAAAAACAGAAAGCTTGCGTTTATAATATAGTATACTAGTTTCAGCGTGAGGTGTTGATAAAACCTTTTGAAAATCAAAAGCAGCTGTAATGGTATCATTAAGTGAATTAATGGCACGTAATTTGTCTTCATTTTTTAATCTCCTAGCTATGTCTTTGTTTTTTATATGATTATAATATTTTAAAAGAGTTGTTTCTTCAACTGGTTTTAGGCAGTTTTTGTATGCCATACATTCATCACATTGATCCTTTTTAGGGCGGTGAAATTCGATGTTAAAATGGTCATTTACAATGTCTGTATATTGTCTGACGGTCATTGCTTTATTAGAATATGCATTAGTAAGTACAATCCAATCATTGTATAATTTAAACATTTTAGTGTAAGTAAGTGTGCTATCTAAATATAATTTTGACGAATCTTTGCGAGTATAATGGGATTCAATGGGTGCAAAAGATTTTACATGATCGCAAACACTTCTTTTCATTTCTTCATCAATTATTACACGATGATTGTGATGACGTCCTCTGTCATCTCCTTTGATAAGAATTCCATCTCCATCTCTAAGTTTATTTAGAGCTGATCGTAGCACACCTTCACCAACAGAAAACGTACTTAAAAACATTGTACGACAAACTTTAATTTTATTATCACTTTGTAAGTTTTCTGGTAAAGAATACCTTAGCGTGAACTTTCTATTTGAGTGACCTTCAGTAGTCATACGTCTTTTATGAATTTGATCACAGAAACGTGTTAATAGCTCCCATTGTCGCAAACGATCACCAAGACCCCAAAATTTTTTAAATATTTCTTTTCTTACGGTTTCGCTAATTTTTTTTGTACAGCGAAGCCTACATTTTTGGTTACAAGCAGGCAAGAGCTTTTTTGGAGAGTTCATCTTACCGTTTCGACTTTTGTATCCAAGTCCTAAATTTTTTAATGATTTTCTTTTATTATCTTCCCAAGAGCTTTTATGAACTTTTCGAGTCTTGCCTATGTCCTTCCTTTTCGTACACTTCCTTTTTTTACATTTTTTTAATACGACTGTTTCAGAATTGCTTGATTCTGAATCTGCATAATAAGTACTATTCATTGATTCTTCAGGTATAGGAGGCAATGGGGAATTTACGGTATTTATTGTAGATACTGAGGGCACATTCAAGTCTGTTATTGTTAAATCTATCGAAGAAGAAGTAGAAATTATCGGAGTGCTTGTATTTATTTGTTTTTTGAGATTTGCGTCTATATTATCCGTCTTAAAGTCTTCAAATAATGGGGATAATGGTGAGTTAACCGCCGCTGTAGATACAGAAAGCAAATTCACTGATAACGTTGTGGAATCCATGTTGTTGATAATAGTTGAAGTTGCCGGAGAAGGCAACAATATATTAAGACTTTCTTGTTGAAAAGGAATAACTTCTGTATCAGAAATTAAACCATCGGGGTCGTTCATTTCATTGCTCAAAATGGTATTATTGAATGGATCTGTAAAACAAGTTTTATTAATATTATTATTCTTTCTCAATACATTATTAGTAATGAAATATTTGTTACAAAAAACAAATAATGATACCTTCAGATTTATTTTCGGTCAAAATTTTTCGTAATTTGTCCATTTCTTCTTCACAATAGTCTGCCGGTAATGGTGATTCTGTAATAAAATATTATTATATTAATACCTAGTACCTATAATAAAACCAACTAACAATTTAACGCTTATCCCATAAATATTTTTATCAAAATTAAACTCTATAAATTGTATATCACAGACGTATAAATTAGTAACTACACTTTTCTCTCAAAAATAATATTTTAATTCCCGCTTACAATCACGTAAGTACCACTTAGTATTTGACGAAAACTAATTGCCCATCTTACAATCAAATAACTGTCACATAGTATTTTAACAACTTCCAGCTTTCCGTAGTACAATTAAGTAACTGCCAGATACCATTTCAGAAACATTTAGGATGCTGTCGTATAAATAAGTAACTGCCATTTAGGAATATTGTCATGGGATATTTACTTAATTATGTGATTTACTCTGATATTACGTTTAATTATAAAAACAAATGCTTTTTTTCAAGACCACAAATATAAAAAATGACTTAAATTTAGTTACTTATAAAATATAGTGTATAATTTGTTTATATTATTAAAATAAAACTTACCCGATGAAGCTCTCATTTCTTTTGTACTTTTTTTGTCCAAACAATCACTTTTATCTTTAGCAGGAACTGGTAAATTTAATGTTTTGAAAATTTTTTTACACCTTTGGCTCATTTTCGTCACTTTTATTTATTTGAATCTTGATGCGGCTACACCGGTGAAGCTTGCGCGTGCAACTGCCACTTGAGGGCTACACAAGGCGACCTACGTAGTGACGTTCCGACGTATTCTTCAGTTAGTGACAGTAAAGAAGTATTACGACGGTAAAATTATTATATATTGCAGATATGATGTTTGTCGTACTTCATTATTCAAATAACTATTGCACTTATTTATTTTATTGTTTCATTAGCCGATAGGGCTGTGTTAGGGGAAGACAAAGGAATAAAAAAGTGAAAATCACCCAACTGCCATATCTGGGACTTTACGTAGGAACCGTCGATATATAAGCTACATTCATCATCTTCATCATCATCAGCCCTTTTACGTCCCCACTGCAGGGGCTCAGGCCTTCCTTATGGATGGAGGTTGGCCCATGACGCTCTACGCTGTCCCAATGCGGATTGGAGGGTATTAATAACTGCAAATGCAGCCGGGACCAACGGCTTAACGTGCCTTCCGACGCACGGAAAAAGTTCGAGATAAAAAAATTTTTGTTACTATTACTCTGCATAATCGATCAACATTACAACTTCAGTTACATATAAAATATCAATTAATATCATAATAGAAGATTAACGAAGCTTAATAGAAAAAAATATAGTCCAAGGCGGATAAACAAGATAACGACACCCGCCCTTTGGTTCTCCGACAAATGTATCTAACATGATTAGATTTATACGTAAAGCGAAAACGTTGTTCCTTTTTTTACAAAATGTAATTGGACAAAGGAGAATCAAATTAGACACTGTTATACGGTATATTGAGAATGTATATCTTCCCCCTATCCCTTGTGGGCTAGACTAAGCGAAACCAGTGCCTCAAGTCTGTCTTTACATACATCATACATCTTAACCACTTTCAATACTCTTTTCATACATGCTCGCCGGCTTAAGAATAAATGCAACATTTAATCTCCATAAATACGAGTATATATGTTATTGGAAAATTACAAGATCCGCAAATTGTCATATTTCCTAGGAAATTTATAAACTTTCGTAGGATTTAAAATGAGAGATGAATTGTATTATTTTACACTCACATTTTCTTAAATTGATATACTTACATGTAACATAATAACTAAATAATAACCAAACGCCATGTACGCTATGATTGGTTGAATAAGTCACATGTTACTTCTCCTTCCTCTCCACCGCTATTGTTCGCCACAGAACATAAACATACCTGTTTGTGCTCGTGAGTTTTTGGTAAGTTTTTAATGATGTAACTATGTTGGAACTGTAACAACAGTCAAGTAGACCCATAATGACTGATCTAGAAGCTGCGGACAGCAAAATTTGTTTTTATGGTATAGGGGGCAGACGAACATACGGATCACCTGTTGGTAAGTGATTACCGACGCCCATGGACACCTACAACACTGCCGGCCTTTGAGGGACGAATATGCTCTACGCTTGAAAGTTTGAAGTTTGTAACAGTCCGGAAATACCGCTGGCGACAAACTGTTCCAGAGTTTGACTGTGCGAGGCAGGAAACTTCTAGAAAAACGCACAGTTGAGGACTTCCAACCATCCAAATGATGGGCATGGATTTCTTGTCGCGTGGAACGAAGGCGGAAGGTAGCGGCAGGTATGAGCCCGAACAATTCCTCGGAGCAATCCCCGTAATAGATATGATAGAAGATGCACGCAGGGCCAGTGGATCAAGCCGACTTGAAGTGTCCCGGCAATCGATGATTCGAGTCGCTCTCCGCTGAATGCGGTCTAGAGGGAGAAGCTGGTATTGGGGTGCCCCTGCCCAAAGATGAGAACAGTACTCCATATGGGGCCGAACTTGCGCCTTATAAAGCTGCAGGCGGTGTGCTGGAGTGAAATACTGCCTCGATCTACTAAGCACACCAAGCTTCTTAGATGCTAATTTAGCTTTACTCTCTAAGTGACCATGGAACTGGACCTCGCTCGATATGTCGACACCAAGAATCTCAATATTGGCTGAGGCAGTTAGGGGAATGTTTTGAAAGCGAGGTGATACGACAGAAGGGGCTTTTTTGGCGGTGAACGCGCAAACCCGTGTCTTAGCAGAGTTGAAGCGGACTAAATTAAGTCGACCCCAGTTAGAGACTTCCTCTAACGAAGATTCAATTTCAGACACAAGTTGAACCCGGCTCTCAATGACGCTTTCCCGAGAAATACCTGCATGACCGTTATAGAAGTAGGTATAAGACAGTAGGTCTGAGCAATGGCGAAGATAGTGCAGACATAAGCATTGCTACTGTCAACATCAACTATACAAATACCAGTTTATTATTTGCCGTATTTCAAAGAGGTGTAAAATTAAACGATCTGTGATTGGTCGAATCATTCAGAATCTTACATATAAATATACGTTACCTTATAAATTTACCATGAGACGTCGAAAATTGATAAATTTACAAAAATAATACAATATATCAACGAAAGTTTATACATTTTCAAAAAAAATTATCAATTCGCAGTTTTTGTGATTTTCCAGTGACATATACATGCTAAACTGAAGTCGTCATGATTGAGATCGTAGACAGAATTATTATTTCTGAACAAACATCAGACACGTTTTCCTTTATTTATATTTCTTATAAATTAAATAAATAAAATGTCTTGTCAGGAGATACACATACGAACTCGTAACGGTACAGAAAGTTAAATTACTTGACTAGAAGTTTTGAAGGTTTCTAGGAACTTATCTGGGGGAAATAATATTGAACATTCACTGCTATTAATGCTTGTTGCGAATTGAATGTCAAAATAAACACTTTTTATCCGACTACGGCGAAGCGAAAAGGATGGTCATGATTTTGGACGTTGTGTGTGAAAATGAAAATGTTCCCTTATAACTTTGAAACTACTCATCGTAACTAGGCATATGAGGTATTATTAGAAGCGTCTTACTTATGTGTAGTTGGATTCAATTGACAACAGCGCCCTCTAGAGAACATAAAGTAAGAAACTAAGAAGTTTGTTTTGTTATGTTCAGTAGCATACGACTACGCTGTCCTTTGGTCGTCGCATTATAATATAACTATCGCTATAAAATAAACTTCTTGTTTCAAATTTTTTAAAGCGTGATTGAGCTATAGACAAATTTTGTTTTAAAAACTTATTTTTGTCGATTCCATTGACACAACAATGTTAACCTTCAATTAGAGATAGGCTTATTGTCACCACCAAATATAATAGTTAATCATATGATAACTGATTTCGACTAGTAACCACGTTTTCATATAACGTATAAACATAGCCCTTGAAGTTGTTCTCAAAATATATGTAGATAGTGGGAAACATCTTTCTCCATTAATTAAGTTTTTGAGTTCCGATTTTTTTCCAAACAAAGTAGCTATCTTTTTCAATTTTGCGGGTTTTTCAATAACATAATTCCACCGATTGACAGGTAGAAAAGACAAAATGTTACAATTAGCTGTTAGCGCTAGATGACACTACTGTATTTTTAAAACGGGGTTTTGTTTTTTTTTAGTGATCATTTTGACATTGTGAACTGAGAACGCAAGAAAAAATTTGCTATTGGGATCAGGCGTAGAATTTTGCACAAGCAAAGCATCATGCTGTAAAACCCTTAAATGAAAGTCTTTATCTGTAAGTCCAGAGAATAAGCACAGTAGTCAAATATCAAGATCCAAGGAAATCAACGATGTAATTATTCAACGACATCATAAAAGGACTACTATTTCAAAGAAAACATTTGTTTGTATTTTTTGCAATGCATGTTGATTTACTAAAAACTGCGAACTAAAATGAAAAAAGCAACTGGACGCTTCTAAGAAGACATGCGCAGACGGATAACATATCCGCAGAATCTCCGGTAGATTTTTTATTTCGTTCTATAGATTGGGCAGGCCTATGCCCAGCAGTGTGGATACTGATATGTTAATGATAATGACAATATAAAGGTAGATGCTTACTGGCAGATTTTTTATTAAAATCAGCTTAAGACTCTAGTTTATAGGTCAGTGTGCACATAGTACCCCCGGACCAAGTGAGCGAAGTCGCGAGTTCAGCTAGTGTCATATATAAATATAATAATAGCCTTTCAAAATATAATACTATGATAACTATCTAAATAATAAATTATGAAGTTAAAATATACACAAAACTACCTAGCCTTGTCCATTCCGCAAGGAATCTGATGTGAAATAGGTATACCGAACATAGATTTATGTCGTTGCAGCTCAGTTATAAAAATAATAAAGAGATTATTTGATTGTGCTATGAATGGACAGGAAATTCCCGAGATATGTCATTTGTCTCGTTAATACAATATTAAAATTAATAATAAACTAATTATTAAGATAGGGTAATAAATATTTCTAATTACTTAAACCTTTTTTATCGTATTCAAATAGTTGTCTGAAGATAGTTGCTACATCAATGTTTTAATAATCCATAATTAAGAGATTCGCAGTAAAAATTTTTACAACTATTAAAGAGTTTATCTCCCTTTACAAAACCGTTTTGTTGAAATAAAAATAACTTTCTCTTTATTTAATCATTAAAATTTTAGAAAAATAACATTTTATCTTGCTTGGAACTTCTTTGCTTATTTGTTTGCAATATCGAATAACGTCATATCCTGGCGGCTATAGGTATATGCTTAAAATTTAAATCTAATTTTAAAAACTAATGTTCCTATTTAATAATTTAAAACTTACTTATTCTCTAAGGTATGCCATTTGTATATTTTGTTTTCTCATAATCAGTAATACAGCTTATATTTGAGAGATATTTTAGGGTGCTTGAAATAAGCCTATGTTTGAACTGTATGTAAATGAATTTTAAATAAAAATATACCTTATTTATATCGACGTACGCCATATAGAGTATCTGGTACTATCCAATGACGCCGAAGCCGCTATAATAGATAGTGAGCGAAATACGACACTCAACAATTGCTGGGAACCAATATGCCGTGCCGCTGAGTAAATTCCCTTTGATATATGTAAT